AACTCGACCCCATATACATTCCACTACGGAGGAAACCCGGAAGTGAGGCAATCCATCGCAATGGACCCCAGAGTTTAAAAACCAGGCGGGAAAACACACCGACACTTCATCAGAGGCTGCACTGAGGATGTTACCAAGCACGGTAATGAAACATCTGCGGAGCAACAAACAGCTCAGCGAGCTAACCAACCTCAACACCCACAACCCGAGCTACAGATCTACTCCAAAACCTCAGAAATGTAGTCGAAAATTATTCTTCTCATGTTTCCCACTGTTCAAGGATTCCACTGTGAGGAACAGGTGATTCCTGTCATTGTGTTCAAGCTAACCATTTCCTTATGTTTTTGAAGCCAGGAACTGGAAGGATGTGACCTACAAAGGATCAGAAGAGCTTCAGTTGGTCTATCTACAGGGTTATCCAGGTGGGCAGGAGGAAATAGAAGTGGTGGTGCCAATGCCAGTTCATATGACATTGAGTCATGAAAGGTAAGCATTGCTCTGAGACGATGGCTACCTGTGAATTACCTGCAAATTTGCTGGCGTGACAGGGTGGGCAGAACCTTTCCAGGTCACTTTCTATTTGGGGACCATAACTTAAATGCTTTATATGTATTGTACAGATGGCTGAGCCAGAGGATGCAAATAAAATTAGTTGAACACGTCAAGTAGCATCTGTGAAGAAAGAAATTGTGTTAATGGGCTCATGTGAAGTAGAAGGGAAGGATTGCCAAGTAGAATGGTGTCAGGAAGAACCCACTGTCTTCCTGACACCACAAGTATTAACCTCTGGCTGGGAAGGCCCGGCCCAAACTGCACCTTCCTGGCCTGCCACCAGTTGAGATTTTAAGTAGTCACTTAATGACCAGTTAAGGGCCTCTTCCAGCCACTGTCACAATTAGGGATGGCACAGTAGCTCAGTGGTTAGCACTGCTGCCTAACAGCGCCTGGGACCTGGGTTCGATTCCACTCTCCGGAGACTATCTATGTGGAGTTTGCACATTCTCCTTGTGTCTGCATCTGTTTCCTCCGGGTGCTGTGGTTTCCTCCAACAGTCCAAAGATAGAATGCCTATAGTGTGGAAACAGGCTGTTTGGCCAAACAAGTCCGCACCAACCCTCCGAAGATCATCCCACCCTGACCCCTCCCGTATCCTGTCCCTGTAACCCTGCATTTCCCAAGGCAGACACACCTAACCTTCACATCCCTGAAAATTATGGGTCATTTAGCATGGCCAGTCTACCTAACTTGCATATCTTTGGACTGTGGGAGGAAACTGGAGCATCCAGCAAAAACTTCAGACCAGGTGAGGATGGCAGATTTCCTTCCCTGAAGGGCATTAGTGAACCAGATGGGTTTTGCCAGCAATCGACAACAATTTCATGGTCATCAGTGGATTCTTAATTCCAGATTTTTTTTGTTATTGAATTCCAATTGCACCATCAGCCATGGCGGGATTCGAACCCGGGTCCCTGGAACATTATTTGAGTTTCTGGATTAATAGTCTAGCAGTGATACCACGAGGCCGTCACCTATCACAGATGTGCAGGTTAGGTGGATTGACCATGTGAAATGCAGGGTTACAGGGTGGGTTGCTCTTCAGGTGGTCGGTGTGGACCCAATGGGCTGAATGGCTTCCTTCCAGACTGTAGTCATTCTATGATTCTATGAACTGCATACCCAGTACAGGACAATGGGTGAGTGGTGGCAAGCGTGTGTTATCCCTTGTTTCCAACTCCTGTTCCTGCAGTCCGCATGCTGTGATATTCCCTACCCCTGACATGTTACCTTGGCAATACTTTTATACCAGCAGCCTCTGCCTCTGGGGCAGTACTACTGTCTACAGTGGCTGTGGGACATTGCTGTCCCAGGGTGTGATGCATTGAGAAACCCACTGGGTGACCAGTTTTAGGTGCCTGATTATTTGACGTAAGATCTGGTGGGTTTGTTGGCTTGTGGTGATGGGTGTATCCCACACATTATGGCACCTGCCATCGCCATTTGCAAATAAAAATCGGAAAACTTTGGCCAACAATTTGGACCACTAGGAGAGGGGTCATTGACCACTAGCAAATCTGGAAAGCACGGTGTTGTGATGAAAGGATTTTCTCCAAGTATCGCTTCATAAAATAACTAAAATTCTTTCTGATGCCAACAGCCTTTATTCTTGTAATTTCATGATATTTATTGAATTTCTTTGTTGGCCTGTAAAGATATCAGATAATTTCTGATAATTGATAATTCCTTTGCCTGTGACTTAGTTGCATAAGTACCCTGGTCATCCGTTTCAACACATTGCACTATGTGTTCCTTTTTCTTGTTTGTTTACATCTTTCATTTTATCTGGAAGATTCCAAATTATGCCATAATGGTTAACTAAACCTCAGTAGAATGTTTGGACAACTGTGCTAACGGGGTAACTTGTCACCTAGGAGGTGGTGGAAAACCAATTACTCATTGTAAAGTACTAGAGGACCATAGGAGTGTTCTCTCATTAGCGATAGATGACTGATGTGAGTTTAACGTGAGCGTCATCATGCTGCAGGCGAGGTTGAAAAGGCCGGACCTTCATGGTATGGAAGTCATGCTGCTGGTGTCACTGTGCATCGTAAACCAACCATCTCGCTCTAATGAGAGAGCCGCCCTGTGGTCCCCGAGGATTATAGCAACTTTACCCATTGTACACAAGATTTGATATTCATCCCTATTGAAGATGGCCAATCTACAAGTACGAGATTCCTGCCTGTCTGTAAAGTAGAAAGTAGTGATTTTACTAGACTTTCTGGCGTGGTTGGTATGAGCTATTTTTGTAAGAAGAAAATGAAATTAAATCTGACACCCTATTTTCTGGGCATTTTAGCAGTATAAAGTAAACATAATGTGAATGGGGCATTAGTATAATCCAAACAGTAATCACCTCGCAAGGAACCCTTGACAGAAAGTATTATGTTCCCAGCAAATTTTGCCAGCTCTCATCACATGGATGAGGAGTCACAGAGAATGCTTGTAAGTCAAAAGATTTATTCAGCTTGAAAAGTAAGGATGACTGAATAACGATTTGCTAGACAGACAAGTAACTCACTGTTGCTATTACATTGTTAAACTCATTTTCTAGTGAACAATTTTTCTGTGCTATATATAAACCTCAGTTAGTCAAACAAGTGTGGAGTTGTACTATGTTTTATTTCAGATAAATATTCAGCATGGATTTAATTATACATAAACATATTTATAATTTTGATTGAGCAATAACTGGAGTGACCAGCATGGTTTTGGATAACTGGGTTTTTGGTTCGCATATGAAACCACTACGGTTATGTTGTCAAAGGATTAATGAAAGAGTGAGTGGTTATATCTGAAAAGAGTCATATTCACAGCTAACAAATGGAAGCTATTGCATCCCTGTTGGTTGAGTGAATGAACATTTCGGTGTGCTTACGAGCCATGGAGATCAAAAAAGCCCCAGATTTGAACCCTAATCTACTCATTGATAGAAACTATCCTCTGACTTGCTAGAAATATTACACTTCCAAATACAGCAGTATTTTGCTTGTCTGTGCTTCTTCTCACAAACATGGTGACATTCAATAATAGTTCACGTGGCTAAAGGGACAGGCACTAAAATATTGACTGCATTTGTAAAATTGTACCTCCCATGAGGAGAGAAAGCGCTGAGGAGGAAATTGTAGTTTGGTTAAAAAAAACTTGGCCTGCCCTCCTCCTCATTCACTTCCAGATGGTGAGAAAAGAACCTTCAGGACAGTATGAAATTCTTAAACATTTTGTCAGATTTGAGTACTTCATATTCTAGTTTAGTCTCGATAATCTTGATGGTTATGTTGCATTTGAAAATTGAATTATCCAATAATTTGACTAAGCATAATGGAATGCACAGGAAACCAAAGAGATTAGTGCTCAAATTGAAATACAAGATGATGTAAATTAAAGTCTTTGGATTGGAGGAGTAGGTTGTAGTCAGGATTGTTTTAATGTTTTCGTTGTTTTAGTGCTCAATTTCAGCATTGACTTGTAATACAGAATTCTACTGAGTGTTGTGTTTTGGATTGACTTTCTGTTGTACTTGTCAGAATTTCTTAGCGTGAGTTTTATGTAAAGTGAAATCCAAATTTTCTAATGTACAAAATGCTTGAAGTCCCTTTTTTTTCAAACGAAAAGAAATCGGAGGTGGTGAATAATAAGGAGAAATGGAAGTTTCAAATGCAGGTTATATAATTTAGTTATTTCAATTTGGTTAAACTCACTTGATTAAAAGTCTTGAATTAACCCCTTCAAACAATGAGTTCAAGTGCTTCATGTTTGGCAGAGATGTATCATAGGCAAGACTGGGGCACTGAATAAATGAATAATATCCGATTTTATTGAGTATAATCAAGGAAGATTGTACGCTTAAGTAAGATGTGTAAGAGACCATATCCTTATTGTTTTTTGGACTATGAATTGAAAATGAGAAAAAGACATGCTTTAAAAAGGAGACAAGATACACTAAGTTAGTTGCAGCTTTGGAACAAAACAAAACTAAAAAAGCTAACTTATGTATATCAAACAATGTTGTTTTTGGCAATGCTTTGCTTAGATAATCTGGGGCCACCTACTTGTGTTCAGGGTAATTCTGTCCAGAAATAGTCTTTTGATCGGTTTTTCATAGCAACATGCCTCTGGTCAGGTTGCAGTTTAACAATGACTCGATGAAGGGGAATGAGAAAAGAAGACAGAAGCCCCAGGAACTTAGCAGAATCAACATCTCTCTCTATTTCCTGAAAAATTGTCTTTTCCACTCTGTCAAAACAGCAGGGGAGAACAGCATTGATTTCCTGAAACAAGCGATATTAAGCTCATAGGAAACTAAAGAGCCCAGGTCCAACCAAGCAACTAGTAAGCTAAAGATGAATCATTGCTGTGCAGATAATGTCAGTGAAGAAAGGAGAAGGATTGTGGAACTAACTGAGCTGATTTTGTGATTTTGAACTTTGATACAAAACTGTGTTCCCCTTATTTTCCCCCTGTCCACTCCATGTTTGTGTTCGTCAGTTTCTCTTTCAGTGCATGTGTAGAAGACTTGAAAGGGTAAAGTTTAAGTTACATATATTGGAAATTCTGTACTTATTAAAGAAAAGAGTGTTGCAATTAATAGAATTATTTTCATTTGTTACTGAAGAACAAGGAGTGGTTTGCTGTCATCCTGGACAGCAGTAATTAGGTAGTAAAGTAGGACTTGTGGTAGTTACACTAAAGCTTTACATTTGTCGTGTGTCCAGGAATAATGGGGCTTGATTTCTAGCAAACTACCCAAGTTAGTCCTGAGCTGTGCAGAAAACATTAAAGTATCATTGAAGAAAGGAAAAGGATTGTGGAAATAACTCATCTGCTTTTGTGATTTTGAACTGATGATACAAACTGCATTCCTCTTTATTCCCCCTCTCATAATGTTTGTGTTTGTCTGTTTTTGTTTGTGTGCATGCAAATCTTTG